GAAAGTCAAACGAAAAAAAAATCAATTAATAGTTGTTGTTTTTTAATAATTTATTGAAGGAACAAGAAAATGTTTAGTGGGGATGGTTTATGACGAATATGTTTCTCTTCTTTCCTTTATTTTTTCTTTTAGTAATCTATGTTGCCATGCGTGGATCACCGGCAACACATGAACTGCAATGCAACCTCGTTTCATTTGCCTGACTATGCGACCATATTTTGCCCGGCTTGTTTACCTTAGAGAGCATGTTTACCTAGCTCAGCCATATCCCCTGATCACTTACGTAAGTATATCGTGTATGTAGTACAGGGAGGAGTCCATCCCATGTGTCAGGAAAACTTTCACTTCCGAACACCAGGAAAACTTTAATGAGGTGAGAGGAATGACCGCCAATAAAGTTTTTACTCTCTCTCTCTCTCTCTTTTTCCTACCTCCGCTATCTACGCTCGAAAGGAGGGATTCCCTACCGCCACGTTGCAACGTTGCAAATGCAGCAACGTCGCAAACAGCCTCCCGCGCGCGTGACGTCATCTGGCGAGGGCGTCATCCCCTATGCTTTCTATCAACTCTAGAGATCGAGATAAATACCCCCGCAGACTTTTGTTTGTTCTTCTCGACATTCAAGGCAGGAAAACAATCACGTTTGTACAATTCTCGAAACAATGACCTCTTTACTGTGCGTGTGCTTGTGTGTGTGTGAATGTGCACATGCAATTGTGTATGTTTCTATGCTAGTGTGTGTGTGTGTGTGTGGATGTGTATGTGTGTGTGTTGCTTGTGTCTGTGAGCGTATGTGTCTGTGAGTGTGTGTGCATCTATCAGTATGTGCACATTCTCGTACCCATGTAGATGCCAAATCATCCATATAGACACGAGGGGGAAAACAAGCAAAGTTATTTATCAGTGTGAATGTCTGCCTCCTGGGCCCTTCCCCCTTTCCCCCCCTCCGCCCTCCCCCACCCTTTTTCCTGACTCTCCCCTAACCCTTGCAACAGCCCTGTTTCCATGCACCTGAAACAATTCACGGCAGGAAACCCCATCCCCCCCACCCACACCCCTCTACCCCTTCAAACAGATCCGAGAGTGTGGGAATCCCGGGACGGCCGTCAAAACATGCCATTACGTAACTATTCCCTCTCTCTCTCTCTCTCTCTCTCTCTCTCTCTCTCTCTCTCTCTCTCTCTCTCTCTCTCTCTCTCTCTCTCTCTCTCTCTCTCTCTCTCTCTCTCTCTCCCTCTCTCTCTGCCTCTCTCTACCCCCCTCCTCTCTCTCTCTCTCTCTCTCTCTCTCTCTCTCTCTCTCTCTCTCTCTCTCTCTCTCTCTCTCTCTCTCTCTCTCTCTCTCTCTCTCTCTCTCTCTCTCTCTCTCTCCTCTCTCTCTTCTCTCTCTCTCTTCTCTCTCCCTACTCTCTCTCTCTCTCTCTTTCTCTCTCTCTCTCTCTCTCTCTCTCTCTCTCTCTCTCTCTCTCTCTCTCTCTCTCTCTCTCTCTTTCTCTCTCTCTCTCTCTCTCTCTCTCTCTCTCTCTCTCTGAGCTCTCTCTCTCTCTCTCTCTCTCTCTCTCTCTCTCTCTCTCTCTCTCTCTCTCTCTCTCTCTCTCTCTCTCTCTCTCTCTCTCTCTCTCTCTCTCTCTCTCTCTCTTCTCTCTCTTCTCTCTCTCTCTTCTCTCTCCTCTCTCTCTCTCTCTCTCTCTCTCTCTCTCTCTCTCTCTCTCTCTCTCTCTCTCTCTCCTCTCTCTCTCTCTCTCTCTCTCTCTCTCTCTCTCTCTCTCTCTCTCTCTCTCTCTCTCTCTCTCTCTCTCTCTCTCTCTCTCTCTCTCTCTCTCTCTCTCTCTCTCTCTCTCTCTCTCTCTCTCTCTCTCTCTCTCTCTCTCTCTCTCTCTCTCTCTCTCTCTCTCTCTCTCTCTCTCTCTCTCTCTCTCTCTCTCTCTCTCTCTCTCTCTCTCTCTCTCTCTCTCTCTCTCTCTCTCTCTCTCTCTCTCTCTCTCTCTCTCTCTCTCTCTCTCTCTCTCTCTCTCTCTCTCTCTCTCTCTCTCTCTCTCTCTCTCTCTCTCTCTCTCTCTCTCTCTCTCTCTCTCTCTCTCTCTCTCTCTCTCTCTCTCTCCTCTCTCTCTCTCTCTCTCTCTCTCTCTCTCTCTCTCTCTCTCTCTCTCTCTCTCTCTCTCTCTCTCTCTCTCTCTCTCTCTCTCTCTCTCTCTCTCTCTCTCTCTCTCTCTCTCTCTCTCTCTCTCTCTCTCTCTCTCTCGTCTCTCTCTCCTCTCTCTCTCTCTCTCCTCTCTCTCTCTCTCTCTCTCTCTCTCGTCTCTCTCTCTCTCTCTCTCTCTCTCTCTCTCTCTCTCTCTCTCTCTCTTCTCTCTCTCTCTCTCTCTCTCTCTCTCTCTCTCTCTCTCTCTCTCTCTCTCTCTCTCTCTCTCTCTCTCTTCTCTCTCTCTCCTCTCTCTCTCTCTCTCTCTCTCTCTCTCTCTCTCTCTCTCTCTCGTCTCGCTCTCTCTCTCCTCTCTCTC